CATCCCCACCACAAGGACATTTGCACAACTATACTCAGATTGGCTTAATACATAATAGCCAGAAACTGAAAATAACATAGAATTCTGTTAATCAAAGGATGCATAAAGAAAATGTGTTATACTTACACAATGGAGTTAGAAAATCACCTAGTCTATAAAAGTGACATCAGCTGGGTGGTAGTGACACACACCTTTAATCCCAGGACTCAGCAAGCAGAGACACATGAAGCCCTTTGATTTCAAGGCCAGCCTAGTCTACAGAGCAAGTACCAGGACAGCCAAGGCTACACAAATAAACCCTGTCTCAAAAAACAAATGAAACAAACAGAAAAGAGAAGGAGGAGGAGGAGGAGGAGGAAGAGGAGGAAGAGGAGGAAGAGGAGGAAAAGGAGGAGGAGGAAGAGGAGAAGGAGAAGAAGAAGAAGAAGAAGAAGAAGAAGAAAAAGAAGAAGAAGAAGAAGAAGAAATACATAAATAAAAATATGACATCATGAAGTTTTCAGGCAAATGAACAAAGCTAGAAAAATATTATCCTGAGTAAGACAACCCAGACCCAGAAAGACAAACATGGTAGGTACTTGTTGGCTGAGTTTTCTGTCCTGCCCAGATCCTGCAATCGTTAAGTCCCAAAGAAATCACACAAAGGTCTACATTAATTATAAACTGATTGTCCCATTAGCTCAGGCTTTTTATTAACTCCTATAACTTATATTTGTCCATTATATTTGTCAATGTTAGCCACATGGCTCGATATCTTTTTTAGCAAGGTAGTCACATCTTGTTTTTTCTGTGGCGGGGCCAAGACTGCAGAGGAATATGGGCTTTTCTCTTCCTAGAATTCTCCTGTTCTCATTGCCCCACCTCTACTTCCTGATTGGTTGTCCCACCTATACTTTCTACCTGGCTACTGGCCAATCAGCGTTTATTTTTTTAGAATATAATTAACAAAATACAGACCACTGTCCCACACCATGTACTCACTTATAAGTGAATGTTCACTCTTAGGTAAAGGATTATCACACTATAATTCACACACCCAGAGAAGCTAAGTAAGGAGACTCAAGGGGGAGGGGACACATGGATTGATCTCCCTGGGAAAGAGAAATAAAATAAACTTTTTGGGTGGACAGGGAGCTGGAGGGGATGGAAACAGGATAGATCAGGTAGGAAGTGGAAGAAAGGAGGAAGACAGTATGAGAAAAGAAGCCTGGAATGGAGGGGCATTTAAGGGGCAATGTGTCAACCCAGAGCACTGGAATCTTCCTGGAGCCTGTGAGGGTGACCCTATGGAGGACTCCTAGTAATGAAGCATATGGAGCCTACACCTGCCATCTTCGGTTACCTGGCAAGACTCCCAGTCACGGAACTGAGACACCAACCCAGACACAAAACCTTCAACCCATACCTACCTGCAAGATGTGCTGGGGGCAATGTTGGCTCAAAGAAAGTGAGAGTGATCAATTACTGACTGATCAAACTTGAGGCCTGAGCTACAAGAGGGAGCCCATGCCCAGCACTGCCTGGATGGCCAGGAACCTGAAGCTGCAAAGCTCAGAGACCTTGAATTGGGGTTTAGCCCCAGCATCATCAGAAAGACTCGATTCCTCAAGCAACTGGAGGGGGCAGAAACAGAGACCCACACCCAAATATTAGGCAGAGCTCCAAAACCCCTCAGAAGTTGGGGAAGAGGATTGTAGGAGTTGGAGTTGTTGAGGACATCAGAAGAACATAGTCCACAAAAGTCAACTAAGCAGAGCCCACAGGGGCTCACACAGACTGAAACAGCAATCGTGGGGCCTGTATAGGTCTGTGCAGGTCATCTGCATACATGGTATGGAGGTTTAACTTGGGGCTTTTGGGGGACTCCTAACAGTGGGAGTGGGGGTTTCTCTGACTGTTTCCGCCTTCACTCAGGTCCCTTTTCCTACTACGGACTTGCCACATCCAGCCTTGATATGAGAGTTTATGCCTAGTCTTCTTGCATCTGTTAGCCATGTTCAGTGACATCACTGAGAGGCCTGCTCTTTTCTGAAGGGAAATGGAGGAGTAGTGGATCTGAAGGGAACTAGGAGGGGCGGAGGGAGGGGAGACTGTGATCTGGATACATTGTGTGAGAGAAGAATAAACAAAAAGAAAAGAAGAAAGAAGTTAGTCTTCCCACTTCAAATTATTTAAGAAGAAAAAAGTCCCTCAGTCTGGCAGTGGTAGCACAAGGCTTTAGTTCCAACATTCAGGAGGCAGAGGCTCGGTAGGAGAATCTCTGTGAGTTCAACACAAACTGTAGGCAAACCTGGTCTACAGAACTAGTTCCAGGACAGACAGAGTTACCAAAAGAAACCCTATGCTGAAAAAATTGGAAGAAAGAAAAAAATCCCTCATAGTTGTGCCCAATCATATGGGCTTTAGTTAATTTCAGGTATATGTTGTGAAGTTAACAACTAAGAAAAGCCATCACATCCTTTCTAAAGTAAACAAACAAACAAATAAATAAAAAGTTTATGTGTCTTACATGGGTGAACAACGCCAGCAACAAAAGACACAAATAACTAAAAATCTCAGTGCCAGGCATTGGATAGCTTCCCAATGTATTATAGAAGGAGACCCCCCAAAACAACGCTGGGTATTACCATTGCCCTTGGGTGTCCATCATAACTAGACAGCAAAATAGAACAGGACACAGACTGATCTCCAAAACAACAGAGTAAAACAGTTACAGCAAGCCAAGTGTCCATCATAACTACATATTCTGAAATCATCTGACATTTATTGCAGAAGATACATTGATTACAGGACAGAGAGAAAGTCTGGGTTTGGGGAACTTCCTGCTGGCTAGCTTTCACGGCTCCAGAGGACAAAATTCAGACTGCTAAAAGACATCAAAGGTGTCACCCATCTGTAAACCCTGAATTCTGCAGTCCTGCCTGGGAAGATGTACACACAGGTACAGTATGGGGAGCCATGCCCTTTGTGACTGGACTTGAGGCTGTTCCAGAAAAGATGTGTGCTGGGTACTGTACAGCTGGTCAGAAGTCCATAGCTACAGAACTCAGGGGCAGGGCCAGTGACCGTTTCAGTAAATGGCTCTCTGGCCACATGGCGTATTTTCAAGCTTCATGTATTTATTTGTGTGGGTGCGTGTGGGTGCCTTCTGAGGACAGCACCAATTATTTCAAGAGGAAGTTGGGCATCAAAGAGGCTCCTCATAGAGTTTGTTAGCCATTTGGACAAGAAATTGCTCTTGCCTAAATTCTTGACTGGACTTGCAAAACCCACAGAAAAATGACTTCTGAACTTGCCTAAAGGTGAGATGGTCCTTCAGGGTGCCTGCTTCATAAATACGTCTGCCAGATGTTCTTCAGAATACAGAAGAAAGTGACTGAGAAACTGCCAATAAAGGTGGAACTGTCTTTGAAATTTCCTGCTTCATGAAAAAGTCTGCCGGACACTATGGGCCTGTAGGCTGAAGATGGATGCACAAATGAAACAGAAGAACTTTGGGTGACTGTCCAGGCAGCAAGATGTCTCTGTCAATTCTAGAGTTTTGTAAGTTGCCTACAATGCATTTCCTGTTAACTTAGGTAATATTATGTCCTTCTGGAGTCTTTGATGGAGTTGAAGAATAGATAGTTATGGTTTTCTTTAGTTATGATAAAAAGTAAAGTAGATATAAGTACTTAAACTGTAATTCTTGCTTGACACCTGTTTAGTTATATGTAATTTTACTCTGTTACTATTAAAACATTCCTTTTCATTTAGACAGAAAAGATAAGATGATGTGGGACTCCCCCTCTGTATGCTGTGATTACCATTGATTAATAAAGAAACTGTTTTGGGCCTATAACAGGGCAGAACAGAGCTAGGTGGGGAAAACTAAACTGAATGCTGGGAGAAAGAAGGTGGAGTCAGGGAGATGCCATGTAGCCGCAGCAGGGACAGATGTGCTGAAACCCTGCCGGTAAACCATGAGCCTCATGGTAAAATATAATATGGGTTAACCAAAGATATTAGAGATAGCTAGCAATACGCTTAAGTGATTGGCCAAACAGTGATTCAAATTTAAAAAAATAAAAAAAAATGACTATACTGTAATTCTGGGTCATTTCCCAGGAACATAGGTATGGACCTTGCCAGAGCCCTTCTACCTGACCAGTATTTAACAATAGCTTGCTTCAAATTTGGCTTTAAATGATGGCAGTGTCTTATTCTCTATTGGTGGAATTAGCAGAGTATCTCTGTGAGTTTCAGGCCAGGAGGGGATATGAAGAGTGACCTCTGCTCTTAAAAAAAAAATCAACAGGGTAAAGAAACAATGAAGACAAGGCAAGATGAGGCTGCATGAGATGAGATGTCCTGGTAGAGCTGAGGGACTTTCCTGATCTGGACATTGTGAAAGGTCTCCAAATCCCAGAAGGGACATGCAGAGACTCCAAGCTCCAAGACTCTGAGTTTCTCTGACTGCTCTGATTCTTTCTACACCTTTCCACTGATCCCTCCCCTTTGCAGCCAAAATCTGCATTCGGATTCAGTAACTGAGTCTCTATCCTCTTTTTCCTTTTCAAGTTTGGATGGTAACTGGGTAATTTGTATCAGATCTCCACCCAGTAAAATAACTTAGAATAGGATAATAATTATTGATACATTCATTAATCCAACCACAGTTCTGGGTCTATGGACTTAGTATTTTAATATTTTAGGATGGGTTTTCACAGTGTAGTTGAAGTTAGCTGGGACTTATTTTGTTTCCTATACTTGATTCTGTCAGTAATCTTTCTGTGTCAGCTGGCCATATGCTTGAGTGTGAGCTGGCACATTTGACTGAGTTTTCTTCTTATGTGAACATAGTTCTGGGAGTGAGTCAGTACAGAGGTATACATGACAGTATCTTTTGGTAGACCTGAAATATAAAGCAGGAGGATTGTGTGAGTGCATTAAGCTTGAGCTGTTGTTCCAAAGCCTCCATTCTGCTCACTGTAGCTTGGGAAGCCTATTGCCAGGATTCTTCTGGGTAGGATCATCACTGTCCCATCCAATTCCAACAGCTTCTAGAAAATGAAAGTTAAAAATTTTGAATAAGAAATAAGAAACACAATTTTTTTTTAAAAAATGTATTTCTATTATGTATACAGTGTTCTGCATGCATGTATCCTGCCAGCCAGAAGAGGGCACCAGATCTCATAACAGATGGATATAAGTCACTATGTGGTTCCTGGCAATTTAAAGCGGGACCTCTGGAAGAGCAGCCAGTGTTATTAACTGCTGAGCCATCTCTCCAACCCAAGAGGCACAAATTTATATACATTCTAGGGATGAAATCCTAGGGAGAGCATTTACCTTTAAAGTTAAAATGATGCACTTCTATTTTTACTCACAGTTTCTAAATTTTTTGAGGCAAGCTCTCAAGTAGAACCACTAGGAATCTTGGATGACCTTAAGTCTCTTTTCCTCTGTCTTTCTCTCAGGAGCGCTGGAAATTTAGGTGTGCATCTCTTTGCCCTTTTTGTGGAGTTCTGAGATATCAGCCAGGTTCATGCATAGCTCACAATCATTCAGCCAGCTGAGGCACATGCCAGTATGTTTGTCCAAGGAACTGGAGTCCCAGATGCTGCTGTGTCACACCTGCTGTCATGACAATCCTCTTAAAACAGAAGCCACCAAGCTTTGTCTCCATTTAAAGTTATTAATAAGCTACAAGTTTGTATGTTTATATAATTTGATTTTCTGAAACTGGCCTGGTGGTCAAAATGTAACCCATCCTGGTTAAAGATTTTTTCTCCACCTGCCTCACACCCTGGGCTGTCAGCTCAGAGGGGCCTCTCTGTTCCTCTGCTGACCAGTTCTCCCACTTTCAGCATCCCAGTGGCTGGAACTCCTGAGATGGCCTACTGAGACATCTTTGATATTTTTGTATACTTCCAATTAAAATTCTTTGTATATATGAGGAACCGGTCTCCTGCAGTGCTAGATTCTTGAGAATCACTAATTAGACTGTGAAGCCCACCCATTTTCCAGAGTTGCATAGCTTTAAAATGTTAAAAATAAAAAAGAGACCTGAGCCAGGACCTCTGTAGGTCCAGGAACACCCGAGTCTGGGAACCTCCAAGGGAGTAGACCAGAGCCAGAGACCTTTGCAGGACCAACCCCAAACCAGGAATCTCCACAGGAGCAGATCCAGATCAGGGACACTTACGAAAACAGCTCTGAGCCAGCGACCTAGGCCGGAGCAGGCTTGAGACAGTGAACTCCACAGAAGCAGGTACAATGGAGCAACCACTGAGGAAGTTGGTCGGAAGCAGAGACCTCTGCAGGTCTGGACATGAGTCTGCGACCTCTGCAGGTCCAGTGTATGAATCCAGAACCACCAAGGGAGTAGGTCTGAGCCAGTACCTCTGCCAGAGCAGGCCCAAAACAGCAACCTCAACAGAAAGAACCCCAAGTAATCAATCTTTGTGGGTGCAGGCCCAAGCAACCCCTGGTATTGCAGAGCAAACCCCGGGAGTGCTGAGTGACCTCCAGGAACATGGAGTGACCAATGGGGTGACTAGAACAGTGGCCCTGACTGTACCACAAGGAGCAACCGTCTGAGCCTTGGATTCACTGGCACCTGGAAGATTGATCACCAGAGTCACAGTCAGCCCCAACTACACCAATCAGAGGAAAAGATGGGTAGACAAGGTAAGAACACACACAACACCACAAAGAACAACACAACACCAGTAAAAAAAAAAAAACTAGTAACCCTACCACAGCAAGACTTGAACAATTAAATAAAGTTGAAGCAAAAGAAAAGGACCTAAAAAATAACTTTAGGAGAATGTTTGAGGCACTTAAAGAGGAAATGAAAAATTCCATCAAAGAAATGGAGAAAAAGACAAACAAAAAATTGAAAGACATCAACAAATCCCATAAAGAAAACCAAAAAAAGCAATCAAACGTAAAAAAAACTTTTCAAGACTTGAAAACTAAAATAGAGACAATAAAGAAAACACAAGCTGAGGAAATTATAGAAACAGAAATCAGGAGAAAATTATCAGGAACCACAAATGCAAGCATAAACGGGAGAATACAAGAGATGGAAGAGAGAATCTCAAGTGCTAAAGATACAATAGATGAAACAGACTCATCAGTCAAAGAAAACATTAAATTTAATAAAAGCTTAACACAAAATATCCAGGAAATATGGGACACTATGAAAAGACCAAACCTAAGAATGCTAGGTATAGAAGAAGGAGAAGTTCAACTCAAAAACACAGAAAATATATTTAACAAAATCATAGAAAAAAACTTTCCCAACCTAAAGAAAGATATGTCTATAAAGATACAAGAAGCTTACAGAACACCAAATAGACTGGATCAAAAAAACAAGTCTAATCAAAAATACTAAATATACAGAATAAAGAAAAAATACTAAAAGTTACAAAGGGAAAAGGCCAAGTAACATATAAAACCAGACCTATCAGAATGACACCTGACTTCTCAATGGAGGCAATAAAAGCAAGAAGGTCCTGGCCAAGTGTTATATAGACATTAAGAGACCACAGATGCCAGCCCAGACTACTATACCCAGCAAAACATTCAATCACCATAGAAGGACAAAACAAGGTATTCCATGACAAAAACAGATTTAACCAATACCTAGCCACAAACCCAGCCCTACACAAAATACTAGAAGGAAAATTTCAACCCAAGGAAGTTGGCTACATCAACAAAAGCACAGACAATAAATGATCTCACAGCAGCAAATCTCAAAGAAGGGGAAAACATACAAAATAGCATCACAAACAACAAAAACTAAATTAACAGGAGATAGCAATCACTGGTCAGTAATACCCTTTAATATAAATGGACTCAACTCACCTATAAAAATACTTAGGCTAACAGATTGGATACAAAAACAGAATCCATCCCTTTTTCTGCATACAAAAACACACCTCAACCTCAAAGACAAACATCACCTCAGAGTAAAGGGTTGGGAAAAAATTTTCCAATAAAATGGACCTAAGAAACAAGCTGGTGTAGCTATCCTAATGTCTAACAAAATATAATTCAAACAAAAATCAATCAAAAGAGACAAAGAAGGACATTTCATATTAGTTATAGGAAAAACCCATCAAGAGAAAATCTCAATACTGAACATTTATTCCCCAAATACAAGGGCTCCCTCATATGAAAAAAAAAACACTTCTAAAGCTTAAATAAGACATTAAACCCCACATAATAATAGTGAAAAACTTCAACACTCCACTCTCATCACTGGACAGGTCTGTCAGACAAAAGATTAACAGAGAAATAAGGGAACTAACAGATGTTATAACTCAAGTAGACTTAACAGACATCTATAGAACGGTCCATCCAAACATAAAAGAATATACCTTCTTCTTCTCAGAACCTCATGGAACCTTCTCAAAAATTGACCATGTACTAGGTAACAAAACAAACCTCACCAGATACAAAAAAAATTGGAATAAACCCATAAGTCTTATTGGATCACCGTGGCGTAAAATTAGAATTCAACAGCAACACTAACTCCAGAAAGCCCACAAACACATGGAAATTAAGCAATGCTCACCTGAATCATCAATGGGTCAAAGAAGAAATAAGGGGAGAAATTAAATACTTCCTAAAATTCAATGAAAATGACCACATTTATGGGACACAATGAAAGCAGTATTAAGAGGAAAGTTTATAGCACTAAATGCCTACCAAAAAAAAAATCTGGAAAAATCTCACACTAGTGAATTAAGAGAACATTTAAAAACTTTAGAACAAAAAGAAGCAAACTCACCCAGGAGAAATAGATGGCAGGAAATAATCAAATTGAGAGCTGAAATCAACAAAATAGAAACAAAGAAAACAATACAAAGAATCAATGAGACAAAGAGTCGTTCTTCGAGAAAATCAACAAAATAGACAAAACTTTATCCAAACTAAGCAAAAGGCAGAGAGAGAATATCCAAATTAACAAAATCAGAAATGAAAAGGGGGACATAACAGACACAGATGAAATACAGAGAATCATCAGGTCAGATTTTGAAAAACTGTACTCTATAAAATTTGAAAACTTAAAGGAAATGAACAACCTTCTGGACAAATATCACCTTACCAAAATAAGATAAAGACCAGATAAGCAATAAAATAGACCTATAACTGCTAAAGAAGTAGAAACAGTCATCAAAAGTCTCCCAACAACAAAAAAAAAGCCCATGACCAGATGGTTTCAGCTCAGAATTCTACAAGATTTTCAAAAAACTAATATCAATATTCCTCAAAATGTTCCACATAACAGAAACAGAAGAAACATTGCCAAACTCTTATTATGAGGCTACAATTACCCTGATGCCCAAACCACAAAAAAGACATTACTAAGAAAGAGAATTACAGACCAATCTCACTCATGAGCGTGGATGCAAAAATACTCAATAAAATACTGGCAAACCGAATCCAGAACACATCAGAAATATCATTCACCATGATCAAGTTAGCTTTATCCCAGAGATTCAAGGATGGTTCAACATATGAAAATCTATCAACTTAATCCACCACATAAACAAACTGAAAAATAAAAACCACATGATCATCTCATTAGATGTTGAAAAAGCTTTCAACAAAATACAACATCCCTTCATGATAAAGGTCTTGGAGAGAGCAGATAAATAAACATACTGAAACATAATAAAGGCAATATACAGCATGTAAACAGTCAAAATTAAACTAAATGGAGAGAAACTCACAGCGATCCCACTGAAATCAGGAACAAGACAAGGTTGTCCACTCTTTTCATATCTATTCAATACAGTTCTTGAGGACCTAATTAGAAAAATAAGACAACAAAAAGAGGTCAAGGGGATACAAATTGGAAAAGAAGTCAAACTCTCACTGTTTGCTGATGATATGATAGTTTACATAAGTGACCCCAAAATTCTACCAAGGAACTTCTACAACTCATAAGCATCTTCAGTCATGTAACAGAATATGATTAATTAAAAAACCAGTGACCCTCCTTTACACAAATGATAAATGAGCTGAGAAAGAAATCAGAGAAACATTACCCTTCATAATAGCCACAAATAGCATAAAATATCTTGGAGTAATCTAACCAAACATGTGGAAGACTTGTATGACAAAAACTTTAAATCTTTGAAGAAAGAAATTGAAGAAGACACCAGAAAGTGGAAAGATCTCCCATGCTCTTGGGTAGGCAGGATTATAGTAAAAATGGCAATCTTACCAAAAGCAATGTACAGATTCAATGCAATGCCCATTAAAATCCCAGGAAAATTCTTCACAAACCTTGAAGGAAAGGCACCCAACTTCATATGGAAAAGCAAAAAACCCAGGGTAGCCAAAACAATCCTGTACAATAAAAGAACATCCAGAGGCATCACAGTCCCTGACTTCAAACTTTACTACAAAGCTACAGTACTGAAAACACCTGGTACTGGCATAAAAACAGACAGGAGGAAAATGAAACTGAATTGGAAACCCGGATATTAATCTGCACACCTACAAACACCTGGTTTTTGACAAAGAAGCAAAAAAATTTCAAATGGAAAAAAGAAAGCATATTTAGCAAATGGTGCTGTCATAACTGGATATCAACATGTAGAAAAATGAAAATAGATCCATTTCTATTATCATACACAAAATTCAAGTCCAAATGGACCAAAGACCTCAACATAAAGCCAGCCACACTGAACTTCATAGAAGAAAAAGTGGGAAGTACACTTGAATACATTGGCACAGGATACCACTTCCTAAATATAACCCCAGTAGCACAGACATTGAGAGAAACAATAAATGTGACCTCCTAAAACTAAAAAGCTTCTGAAAAGCAAAGGACATGGTCAACAAGACAAAACAGCAGCCTACAGAAAGGGGAAAGATCTTCACCAACCCCACATCAGACACAGGTCTGATCTCCAAAATATACAAAGAACTCAAGAAATTGGTCCTCAAAAGAACAAATAATCTGATTTAAAAAAAAATGGAGTACAGACATAAACAGAGAACTCTCAACAGAGGAATATAAAATGACTGAAAGACACTAAAGGAAATGCTCAACATCCTTAGTCATCAGAGAAATGCAAATTAAGACAACTCTGAGATTCCATCTTACACCTGTAAGAATGGCCAAGATCAAAACCACTGATGACAATTTATGCTGGAGAGGTTGTGGGGTAAAGGGAACTCTCCTGCATTGCTGGTGGGAATGCAAGCTGGTACAGCCCCTTTGGAAATCAGTGTGGCGATCTCTCAGAAAATTAGGAAACAACCTTCCTCAAGACCCAGCAATACCACTTTTGGGTATATACCCAAAGGATACTCAATCATACCACAAGGACATGTGCTCAACTATGTTCATTATTTGTCATAGTCAGAACCTGGAAACAATGTAAATGCCCCTCAACCAAAGAATGGATAAGGAAAATGTGGTACATTTACACAATGGAGTATTACACAGCAGAAAAAAATAATGACATCTTGAAATTTACAGGCAAATGGATGGAGCTAGAAAACATTATAATGAGTGAGGTAACCCAGATCCAGAAAGACAATTATCATATGTGCTCACTCATAAGTGATTTTTAAACATAAAGCAAAGAAAACCAGCCTACAAATCAAAATCCCAGAGAACCTTGACAACAATAAAGGACCCTAGAGAGACAGATTTAATCTATTTAGGAAGTAGAAAAAGACAAGATCTCCTGAGTAAATTTGAAGCATGGGGACCATAAGAAAGGGAGAGGAGAGGAAGAAAGGGGAGCAGAAAAAATGTATAGCTCAATAAAAATCAATTTAAGAAAAAGAAACTCAAGCTAATAAATGAAGGCAAAACATGAAAAAACATTGCTTCCTAACTTTCTCTCTTGCTTTGTCATTGTCTTGTGCTGAACTAGCTCTCTTATGCAGCCCAGGCTCACTTGCTTAGAGATATAGCCAACTCAGTAGAAGAGCCTCCCCACATCAATCAAAATCAATACAGATGCTGCAATCAGATATTCTGATCTAAGCACACCCTCAACTGATGTTCCTTCAGATGACCCTAGGCTATGTCATGTTGATAGCTGAGGCTAATTAGGAAAAAGAGACAATAATATACAAGAAGGTTTTTAAAATCCAAAGTCAATGTATTAATCAAATCCAATCACTTAAGCAGCAAAAACCCAAACATGAAGATAGCAACAACTGGAAAACACTGGTATGCCAGGAAATGGGAAGAGGCAAGCCTCCAAGAACAAGAAAAGAGAACTAAAATTGACTCTCCACAGAAACTTCAAAACCAACAAAAACACAAGAAACTTATAACAAGAAATTTCCCGAATACAAAATTGAAGGTCTATCATTTTCCAGAGAAACAATATAAATAGATGATAATAAAACTAACAATATAGATCACACCACTGAAAAAACTGGGACATAAATACATACCTATAAATATAGATCATGATCCCTTATACAGAAATGACAAAATTCTAATTAAAATCAAACAAGAAATCACTGACCATCACTCATCCAGTACACTCCATTCTCTCCTTTGCCAATAATAGAAGAGGGGTTGTGTGAGAAGGGTGTTCCATCAGAATTGGAGAGGTTTGTTGGAAGCCTTCTGAGGTTTTAACTTTGTAGAAAACATTTTGACTACTAAAGGATATCATTCTCTTATGAAAAAGAATAAGATGTCTGTTAGGGTCACTGAGACAACATTTTGTTTTCTATTGTTGGGTACAGGTGTCACACAACTATGTGACAGACCACTAAAATCTACTAAATAATAAGCAAACTTTATCCCAGAAAAAGAAAAAAAATCCTCCATGGGGCACACAAAGTTTATCAGCTATAGCAGTGACCACAGACAGAGATCATATTGATGTGGCAATGGCGGGTTCCTCAACTCTCCTTTTTATAACAAGAAGCAAGCATTAGGCATGAACAAAAGAACTTTTACAATCTTGAGGTAAGACTCAGATATGAATTGCTTTTTTTTTTTACACAATTTCCATTAATAGGGTTCTTAGGTCAAACTAGCCCTAGTTTGCATTTAGCCCACTGTTTCTCTCTGGCACTTTCTGATGGTGTTTATTGAAGCTCTGCACTCTCCTGACTCTACCAGTTTTGCATAGCAGGGAAGGGTATGGGACAAAGCACACCCTAAAAGTCATATATATCCCATAATTTAAAAGTTAACTCAGCTCATGTCAGTTGTTGGTCATGAGTGGCCGGGGGGGGGGGTATCTAAAAGCCGACCCTCAGTTTGCAGAGGGCTGCTTCAGCCTTGCAGAAAGAGGTATGGGTTGTAAAGCAAAGTAACCCGCTCTTCATAGTTAATCCTTAAACTGCTGGGAAAGCCGCTGACAACCTGCTCTCATTCTTCTAGGCTTACAACTTTTTATTTCTTTATTTCTACATTTCTATTTCTGGAACCTACATTTTTATAGTCTGATGTAGGTGGGTCTTCTTTCTATGTGTTGCTTTCATTGGTTAATTAATAAAGAAACTGTTTGGCCTGATAGGTCAGAACATAGGTGGGTGGAGTAGACAGAACAGAATGCTGGGAAGAAGGCAATGAGGCAGACGCCATGCCTCTGCCTCCCAAAAACAGATGGCGCCCATGTGGATAACTGCATTCATGGAAAGCCTGAGAAAGCTTGGGGAAGAATAAAGCATGGTTTCTTGGTAGCAGCAATTTCTTGGGTCTGCTCTGCTTGCTAGAGGCAAGCAAGCACTCTCATCTAAGAGAGGCTTCCTGACTCAGCTTTAGCTGCAAAACCCTGCAGCTCTTTTAAGAGGTCCTGCCACGAAACATTTAAATGATGTTGATGAAAAGCTGAACGCATGCTTCTCGGTTTTCAGCTGTAGCAGGAAAAAAGCTGCATTGTTTTAAAATGTCGGCTTTCTAGGATGTCCTGCCAGGGCAAACTCTGACTCTTTCAGGCAGGCAGTCCGACTGAGTGTGGTCTGTGAGCATAATGCTGCAGCTTGCTTGCTGGCAGTGACCTTGAACCGCCACAGAGTCATGGCAATAAAAATGGCTCCAGCAGTACCTCTGCCAGGAGGTTGGAAAGCTAAGGAATGGGCTGGATCTAGCCATCAAAGCCACGGCTTTAACCCTCTCCATAAAAACTCATGTAGTCAGAAAAAGAGAGATATACAGTAAAGAGAGATTCAAAGATGAAGAAAACCTCTAAATGGTTTACGGTGTGTTAAAGATATATGCAGGATAAAAGTTAAAGTTCTTAAAGTAAAGAAAGAAAGAAAGAAAGAAGTTGGGTGTGGTAGTGCACACCTTTAATCCCAAAGCTTGGGAAGCAGAGGCAGACAGACCTCTGTAAATTCAAGGTGTGGTGGCAGACACTTTTAGTTCCAGCACTTGGGAGACAGAGGCAAGTGGATTTCTGTGAGTTCAAGGACAGCCTGATCTACAGAGTTATTCCAGAACAAAGATATACAGAGGACCTGTCTCAAAAAGTAAAAGTAAAAAGAAATAGAGGTTAAAATAAAGCCACATAAAGATGGAAAATACACAGAGAATCTTGATACTGTGTGTTATTATGCTCTCTTTGAATTATTTGAATGCTGAGGAAGGAGCAACAGCTGCTAAAAGATATTTGCTTATAAATACTGCTGAATTAATCCAAGGTAGGTATTTTGAAAATACCTTGACTTCAAAATTGAAGTCAAAAGGTACGTTACTTTGGAGAAGAGATTTTGCTTTTGTTTCCACAGGAAATGAGAGGCTATGGATTCATTCTGAGTTTTAAAAAAAATCAGGTTCAATCAA